TAAAATTGCTTGTTGCAAGGTAGTTAACCCTTGCGCGGCGACGGCGGTCGGCTACGCGAACGAGGGGCGCGGGTCGCGGGTCGCGCTCGCCGTAAGCCTCGCAATAGATAAAACAGTGATAGAACATGCACCGCGCCGCCGGTATGAATAATTCATTAGTTTCAGTTGCCACTTTTGTTGGTATCGGTGGATTTTCAGCGCTTCACACCGTCAAAAATATGCGTTGAGGGGCTGGTTATTGTTAGACTGTACTCTTTACAGTCTCGTTCATTTAAAATGTATCGTGGAGGGGCATATTTTATGAAATATTTAAAGAATAGATGACGCTGCCATTTGCTACATTTATTTTTTAGTATCGAACTTTACGACTTTCGTGAATGTTGAGTTGTATAATAAAATGTTGTGCGTTCAAGACAATAATAATATTGATATTTATTATACTATTTTTTCACCACTTCCTATGAATTTATTACCCATGGTGAAAGTTAACACTTTCAGTATGAAAGCCGTTAACCGTAGCGAAGCGAATGCCGCCAGCCACCGCCCCTGCGAATCCTGTTATAATTTACGATCATCCCCAAAAATCCCTGGATTATTTTTATTCGATAACAATAAAGGTGCCGCAGAGGCTTACCTTTATTATCACTCAGTGTGGAACGACTCTTTTACAACTTTACACATGTTATACGATCACCAGAATGGGAAGACTGTGATATTTTAAATTTTGATTGTATATACGAGTATGTACTACATTGAAACTTACATGGTAATATTTAAAAATTCAAATTTAATTTGTTTCTGAGATGTTGGTAATAGGTTTAAATTGAAAATTAATATTATGAATGTAAAAGTTTACAAAGTTATTCTAATGTATCTTACTCAATCGTTTAATGGCTGAACGGTTTTTAAAGAAATATGATACACAAATAGGTTACACATAGGTATGTATATATTAAATCAACATTCTGCTTTTTTATATTTTAATTTATTTCAACAGTACGTGTCATAATTATAGATGTAATAATATAGTTCTCTTCTATTTAATACTAGAATAAACTTTTTAATTTTCAGTTTTAACGAATCCTTAATCGCTTTTTTTCAAAATGACCAAAGTCACGGTGCAACAAAGAAACTTTTTTTTTACAACACAGGGGGCAAACGAGCATGCGGCTTTGCGGTTCTCGTGATTAAATACTTATAAGATGTTAATGAGAATTATTTAATTTTTGTTTAATATTTATATGCACAATTTTTAAGAATATGTACTATCTAGATATCATATTACATCCTGTGATGATTTGTGACAAAACAAATTAAATCATTAATTCTCCTAATACTACTAAAGTTATCTATAACTAGTGTAACATTTTTATTTTATAGAAGTTCATGCTCAGCTACTCAGTAGCGTTGTTTTTAAATTGTGACGTTATCAGAGTTTTTGTGTAGGGACAGGTTTCCGGTTGAAAACGTGTATATATATGACATAGGTCATGTATAATATGACTATAGTAGGCTTCTTTGGGCTCACAAGTAATATAGTATATTATTACCTACTCACCTAAATAAGTAAGTAAATTCGAACCTATATTTGTTTGTGTTGTTATATTTCGACCTTAAAGTTCAGAAGTCAATGCATGCACATAAGATAAAAACACTTTTACCCTTAGGAATGGTAACATATAACAAAAAATAAAATTAAAACCTTATCTTGATTGTCGTTACGCAATAATATTTTTGTACTACTGAGTATGGTGTGGAAACGATTACCGTAGCATTTATATGCTATGGTAAGGCAAGTGAAGCTTGATTACCATCTTTGTGATGTAATAAATGAATAATAATATATAATAATAAGTAATGAGTAATAAAAATGTAAACATACAAACATATGATCAATCAACAGCTGTTGAGTACTCGGAGCACGTTCACGTTGATCGAGGCGCTGGATGCGGATTAGACGCGGCCGAAAGTGATCCGTTATAATTTCGAGGGTGGACAGTGACGGCTGGCGCGCACAGATTAGCCCCTTCGATAAACAATAGCATTAGTATGCGAGGACGCGCTGACCGCCGCCGATCACGACGCCCGTGTTCGGATTAATTTGCCTTCTGAAAATTATGGAGGTCTATGTGGGGCGTAACGATCACTCCGGGCCGGACAATATTGGTTTGTTTTCACTTGTGCGCTCCACTGCCCTTTGTAGATATTTTGTTTCCTCAGTCCTCCGCCCGGTCGAGGAGCGATAGCTTTCGATCGTATTAATTGATAATATTACTTCGTATTGTTATTACTTTACTGTAACTGTTGAATCTTCTTTTACTATTGTCTATTACATACAGTAATTATGTACTTTAATAGTAGATAACCATTTTAGTTAGTTTAGTTAGTTAGTAACCTTAGTCTATTCTTTTTCGTGTTAACTATGTTTTTTATGCTTTTTAAAACAACTAAAGGTATAACTTGCAATTAATTACTAATAGGTTTTGCTCATAAAACATGATAAGCGAAAGTTCTGGAAAGGTCCTGGCTGGTGACGGCATATTAGGCCGCGTTGTTGAGTTCCCTAAAATAAGGTTGAGCGTAATGATATGTCTGCTCATGTTTGTCTGTTTTGTTTTCCTTTTAACAATACATATAAATAGAACTTAATGCTAATTATAGTCAGATGGTCTACCATGAAATGAAATTCCGAAATTTCGGGCTCAATTTCGTGTTTTTGTTCGTATCAAAATCGACCTAGTAAATGGAGCTTAACATTTCGTTCATCATTAATCCTATTCTAATAGTCCAAAGAAACGATATTTTAACATTTTTAATAATTTTAAATAGTATGTATTATGTAATTTTAACATCAAATTTCTGTTTCGTCCGTCCCCGAAATTTCGGAAAATCCTTCATGGTAGGCCCTCAGAGTATCTATACAAATGTAAAATTCCTTTGTATATAATAATTTGAAAAAGAATAACTGTTGAGTTTCTTGCAGGTTCATCTCGACAGTTAACAACTTTCTAAACTGTTTTAAAGTATTTTTAATTAGATTAAGTATTTAAATATAATTTTTGTCGATAGAATTTACTTACTTCTTAAGAAATTAATAATATATGTACGCATAAACCATATAATATAATACGTATATAACATATAACGTAATATAATACTAACTAATACATATATAATATATTACATACAAAGCTATACAGGTTATATTATTCCTTTTCTATTAAAATAAAAACAATTTCATGTTTTTATTTTAATAGCTTAATTCTGTTAGATAAACAATTATTTAAAGTATTTATTCACTTAGTTAACATTTACATATTCCGTAAATTTTGTAACTATCAAGACAGTTTTTGGCAAAGATAGTACCTACTAAAGTTCCATAACTTTTACAGTGTAATAAAAGCGATCGGTTTATAATCTTATTTTCAGTAGTTTGTCCGAATTTGTAAAAGTATTTTCAGTAGTGATTGATAACTTGAGAGCTCGTGAAAGAGTTAAAACTTTGTAAAATATTGGAGAAACTATTTACTTATGTTTATATATCATATCACAATAATGTAAGATCTAAATATATTTGTAGAGCCGTTTGTTGTTATGAATGTTAAAAATTATATATATATTTTATACAACTTAGAATGACAAACAAGCTGACGGTCAACCTGATCGAAAGTGATAACCGTCGCCTATAGACATGAGTAGTACCATGGACATAACAGAGTATACTGTTATTATATTATATTATTTATATTAAATAGTAAAAAAATGTAATAAAGACTAATATAGGTTATGCAATGAATTAATTGCGGCTTTATATTCAATATAATATTATTGCTAACTTAATAGCAGTTATATTATTGTTAACTTTTTGTGATAAACTTAACTTCATCACAATAATACATCTTAATGCGATTCAATGACGATTAAACCACATATTTAAGGCTGTTTTCACTGGATGGCAATAAGCGTTAATTTTATTTGTACTCGGCAGCGATATCCGGTTTCGACGGAAGTTCACGCCTACCGCCGCTACCGCTAAGTAATGAGGCTACTGTTACAAACATTGTACTCAATGGATAAGGCAATAAATCAACCTAACTTGCACAAAACATTTTGAACTTTAAACATAGAGAGAATAACTCTATTTTGTTTAGACAGAAATCGCCATTCATGTATAGGCATCAATAAGTATTTTGCCACCCTTGAATGAGCATTAATGACAGTTATGTTTGTTTTCCACTTTATTTGTTTTACATTAGTAATTAATTTGGTATAGTAAATTTAAGAATTGTTATTACAGAAATGCAGCATAACTGTTAGATGTGATATTTTGATCGTTGACAATTCGAAATCTATAGATTTCCGAACACAACCAACTTAAAGCCTTATAAATCAAAAGCTAATTTGGGAGTCGGCAAGCGATGCGTACCGTAATGTGTTCTTTACATCAAAAACACATTTAAAAGAAGTTAGATTGGCTTACTGGAGTTGGCGTGGGGCCATACGTAGTTGGAGCCTTTTCGCCGCCCCAAAGCCAGCCTAATCTTCAAAGATTCGTCCCAGATTGTTTGCAACCATTTCGGTCCATCAAAATATAACGGCGGAAAACTTTAGCATGATAAATTATTTCGTAAACAAAACATGTCCACAAATATTCAAGAAGTCTAAAAAAGGGATAAGTAATTCACTATAAAAAATATATGGTTGATATCAATGTTATGTAATGTCTAATGAATAAACGAGTAATAGTAAAAAAAATGGATAATTATACAGTGTGAAAGATGTGGAAAGAGAGATTAAAAGTTATTTAATAAGTGTTAATAGAATAAATTTTAATTAAAACTACAATGATTTGTTTATTTTGAATTTGCGTGAATTGTTTGATACTTACTTGACCAATGATTGCAGCATAGGCTGCTCGAACACTTGGTGACATTTAACACTTTTAATTTTACACTTTTTTAAAATATGAATAAAAGAGTAATATTTAAAACAAGCTTTATTTAATATTAACCTAATCATCCTTAATATCTGTAGTTATGTAGCTATGTTTATTCATTCAGATCCCATTCAATTTAAACAATCAATACACTCTATAATATAAACACACTCCATTGCTTTAGCTTAGGGATATATTTACAAAATCTATCTAGATAGCTATTTTCTTATATTAGCAATTTGGCAACATGATTAACGGTAACATTTACAATAATCTATAGTATATAAACTATAATTGACAGAAGAAAGTTAGATGTTGTATAAATTATGGACAATGAATATTTTTTACTGAAAAAAAAAAACTAAAATAAAATTAATAGTTGTTTCGTTTTCATTCTTGGTGAAGTCAGAGTATTTGTATATGTACATTTTTGTCTGTTTTTTTTTTTTATGAAAACTTTAAAATTTGATTTACTTATTCAGTTTTAAAATATTTGTGTATAAACTGATTTAGTTAAATATTTGAACTTAAAGCCATAGTTGTCGTTTACCGGAGATGTAGTAGTTATTTGATCCATGTGTATATTTTATCTAATATAATAAAATTATGTTTTAATTCAAATAAACAGTGAGATTAAAGAAAACAATATATTTAATTTCTAGGTTAGTACAATTATTCTGAATCTAACGTAAGATCACAACACTCACATTCCCCCTTAACCCGATACAGTTAAAATAAACAAAACGGTTGATTGTATGGACCAGAGTTTTATATCACTCAAAAATAATAAAATAAAGCTAATGTAATTTTGTTATACACCCACTCACTAAGATGGATAGTACACCTATCATTGTTAAATTTGGCATACCCAATATTTCATTCAGTATAGGACTTATCACAGTGAACATGAGGTTAAGACATGCACAAAAATAATTATTTAATATCATCCAGAGATACCATTATTAATAATATATTCATTCAGTCTTAATCTATTTAATATAAAATAACCATTATGATATAATAGTGCACTTTATTTTATATCAATACGTGTGCCAATGATTTACTATTTATCTATATTAGTTCATGGTTTAGCAGATGGCTTTTTTTTTATTTATTACGGAATGTAAACAGGAAATCTGCTATACCACGAACATTAAAGTTCAAGGAACTGTTGTACACCATAGTTACAATGTATATATTTTATTTAGTTAACAACAATGTTTATTTATACATATATTATACATATCGATTGAGTGGAACAGAAAAATCTATCAATTGTTGTATAATCAATATAACGACGATGTAGCTTCTACGTTTAATATATTTTTATACTAATTTACCTGTTTTCAAGGACATTTAGTCTAACTTAAAGGTAATTCAATCTAAAACTGCTTTCGCATCATGCACCTATATTTAATTTTTGGTATGTATTTCAATCGATTTAGAAGCATTGTATATCTACCCTAAGCTCTTTTACATATTTTTAAATTATCGCGTAAACAACATGCAAATTATGCCTGAAATAAAATAATAAATAAGACGGCTTTACTGGACAATATTGGTATTCAATATATTTATTTTAAATCGCAAAATATTAAATATATAAAAAAAGATATCTGTATTTTTCGGTCATCTACTTGTCAGGTACTCTAAAATATTGGTCTAATTTATATGTCTAATATATGAACTTGACCACTCTTAATTTTTGTTCTCTAACAAGTATCTTTTATAATATATTTTAGAAATATAATTAAATTAAACATAGAGGATAAAGCGAGATTTTAGAACTGATTCTTTTGACTGGCAGATCTGAGTTATGGCAGTGACAGAAATGTGACAAATAGTATTATTGATCTAAAAAAAATGGAATGGATAGTAATAACTGTCTTTTCTAGAAATGATTATTATCTAATACGTGTAATTCAGCAAGAGAAATCACAGGCATAATATTTATAAATAAAAATTAACATCTGAATTGAACACCTCCTTCTTTTTGAAGTCGGTTGCAAAGTCTTTCCATGACTTTATGTATTATACTAAAAAAGTTAAGTTAGTATTTTAACATTTTTGACTCATATAACACGCACTCTATAGAAACCCCATTAGCTGATCGGCTGAAGCTTTGTATGAAAATCTACTTGTGTGATAACAACATGGGGTTTTCACGGCCTGAAGATTTTATAGGTGTAGGTGTACCCACTTTGTTTACAATTGAAACATCAAGGGGTGGCGTTTTTACAATGTAAATTGTCAGTTACATTTCTCTCTTGTCATTATTAATAAAAAAAAATAATTACGGTTTTCCGTATCTTCCAAAAGAGATTTATTTATAAAAAAATTAAGCGGATTTATAATAATGATAATTTCCATTATATTGTTTTAATACAGCCGTAGGTTAATAAATAAGAAAATGTATGGGCTCAGCAAAAAGCGTAGCAGTTTTATTGTTAGGTATATTGTGTCAAATAATAAATTTCAAGTCTTTGTATAGCTAAATATTTTTTTTTTAATAAACTTAGCGCTATTGATATAAGCTATACTTTCATAATACATAGAATAATTGTGTATAAAATGGACTGTGTGGATTTGGATAAATATAATTTGATATCTTAAAAATAAAGTGGTGCAACCGATAACACTAAAATCCATAGGTGGCATCTCCTCCAGTCTGCATCACCTGTAAACAAAAAGTACTGCTGTGTATGCAATGTCTTCAATAAGGAAATAATTATTATCGGGCTTTGTTTGATACTATTGTACTTATTACACTATCTAGTATATTGAAGTATTTATTATTACATTTTAAGTTTATAACATAATAAGTAGATTGGTTTTTATTCTCTATTCCAATTCTAAATTCAAGGTGTTAATTGCTTATCTTATAATAATAATAAGATGCTAGCGATTGAAGTATAGAAATAAATGATTTATTAATACACAAATCCTTTCAATACACATATGTTACAAATGTATGTGGTAGAACATTTTATTATGTAGTACGAGATGAATTTCCGAATCTCCAACTCCTAATGAACAGGAATGTTTATAAGAATAACCAGTCTTACCGATAATCACGACTAGACTATACCTGTAACTTGGGAAGCACCACCCACCCAGTTGAGGTGCGTCTTCCCACCACCCTCGTCTGTCTTCTGCTTCTCTTTATCGATCTCATTTAGATTCGATAGATATTTTGTTCCTGGCAAACAAAAAAATTCCAATATATACCTTTGAAATATTATATAAAAAATAAATATTAAAATTTACGACCGTAATTATAGATTGTTTACAATTATAGCAGCTGTGAGCCGCGACTTTGCTCATGAAACTCATAAAACGTGTAAATCCTTCTCCACCCTAAATAAAAAAATCTTAGTTATTATTCCAGATCATATTAGATATATGTATATACTTATAAATAAGTAAGGATTGTATGCTGCAATATAATAAATATAGCTGTATAAACATTGAAGTACGTATTATGTATACTTTAAAGGTCTGTATTATACAGAGCTTATGATAAGATTAAAAAAATAAGTCTCAATTATGTAACCGGAAACAAGAAATGTATAGATTTCTTACAGAGATTGTGGAAGTCATTAGGTAAAGGATCCAATATGGAAAGGGACAGTGGACAGGGGTCGGCGGGCGGTCGGTTATTGAAAAGTTGCCCAATATTGTCGCATGGTTGGCCCCGCGTAAATTCGTAATGGCCACAAAAAATAAAGTAGTCTACGAGTATGTTGACGCGCCGCGCGTCGTGCAGCCGCTACGCCCCGGCCCGTACAAAAAACAGCCCATTACAGTAGCGATCTAATGGGTTTTTCAAGTTCATCGATGCATTTTATAATAACATTTTGAAGAAATTGAAAAATTAAAACTATTTTAACACGATTTTTAATGTCGTAGAAAAAAAGCTATAATGAATAATGGAAATCATCAGGTACGCTGTCAACTAGTTTACCATTCTAAGTATTATGAAAAATATATATACCTATACTACAATGGCCTAGGAATATTTTGTCCATAGATAAAATTTTCTTTTATTCTTCTTGAACTTTTAAGTTTGATACAGAGACAAATTTCGGCGTATATTTTAAATGGATCATAATAAAACCTCTAAAATTGTATCTTGCAATGTGCTAAATATATTTTATTTGCGATGAAAATGGAGATTGTCTATATAGATTTTAATTGGAAAACTAAAACTAACTACTAACTAAAAGCAAAATTACATTGTCAATAATGAAACGTAGAAAGGGACGGAATCAACACTTGGTGACAAAATGTTGTCATATAAGATGTTTTCTAAGTTGTATCAGCTGTAACATAACCAAGAACATCCCTAACTGCCAATAACGTTGGAGTAATGACGCGCACCAACAACTTGTGTACGTATAATAAACTTGTACTGTTTATTATATATTTGATTCGTAAAAAAACTGTCATTAGTTGTTTGATACTAGAATAAGTATATTATATCTTTTATAAGATAAAGACAGGATCACTTATGCTATGGACTGTGTTAAGAAAGAGAAATGACAGTGATCTTTGTTATATCAAATATATTGGAGAGAATACGAGTAACTAAAATGGTAGTACTTCATCAGTACTGTAGTTCGAAATGAATATTTTTATAGCATCCCATTGCTATATATTTATATCTGACTGCTATACAGTTTATATATATATATATATCATAATAAGTAAGCATAAACAGACCTTCATCATAATTCATTTATTCAATTCATCATTCTTCATTCTATCATAACAAAATCAATTTAGATTTTAAGCCTATTATTCAATCATAAAATCTAATTTTATGATTTGTTATACGAACAAAATACATATAATACCACTTCGTAAAACGTCTGTCTGTAAACGATTTGTTTATGTTTTATGAGGGCCCATAATATTCGAAGCCAGTTAACAAACTACAGGCTGGCGACAAGCAGATCGGCGTTTCGGTTTATGACCTATAAACAAATACATATAACGACCACTAATAATAACTGAAACAGCAGTAAACAATGAAAACTGAAAGCTCTTGTGGATAGATATAACTCGTAAAGGTAATATTATCTCTTAATAAACAGAAACGCCGACATAAAATTGTTGTTCCCTGCATTTTATCGACTGTATCAGATATTGATGAGTTTATTCGAGCATGAATTGTTGTAAGCATTTTATATATGAATTAATAAAATGTTCGATACTATTTTTGTACCGAAATTAAGGCATATAATCGCTATCAATTTAACAACCCTTTAATACTCTACTGCTGAGCGTAGCTCTCTATAGGAACAAAGCTAGTTTGCTTAATATGCTTGCATGTATACTTGTACTGATATATTTACTTGTAGTATTGTGTATCTGTGTGCATATGTGTATGTATCTTACGACATTATTATTATTATTATTGAAAGATGTACTAATTCAGGCAAAATAACCTGTGACACTGCAAGCTTTTCATGATATTTTGTGCTCACCCATTTTTTAACGTTCCCTGCTAATTCCTATCCGTGATAGAAATTTTAAGTTGTTGAAGTTGAAGATGTTTTTTATAGCGACGTTTTTATCTCCTCAGGATATAGAGTGTGTTTTCCAAAATAAATATATCGTATATGTATGAGTGGGCTACAGCCACACATTAAGTGTTGCGGCGTTATAAATAGTAAATGGCAGAAGACTACTTTACCATATAAAGAAGATGGCATATAAAAAAAAAACTACTACCTATTATCTACCTATTTACTTACAGCTACTTCTAATCTAAATATTGTATTTAATTCAAATTTTCCAGATTATTTTGCTGTAATATTATATTCATGATTACTTTATATATTGTACATTTACGAGAACCACCTAATAAAATTTTCTTTTGTAAATATTTTATTTCAACTTGTGTCATATACAAAAAAAATGTTACTAAATTCTGGATTAACTAGAACCACTGTCGCTAGTATACAAAATAATTATTCCACATTTTAGATAAGTTTAGAACTTCAATGGGCTTATACACGTATACCGATCAATCAATGGAACAAACTAAATAATAGGCATAGCTTTATATCTTACCTATATTCATGATATAATTTATGTATTAATAGTTTATTTTTTTATGTCACGTCAAGAACTTGTCTTTTTCATTAACACAGCAGAGTGATATAATTTTATATTTTCACAAAACTTCTATTAACAGTAAGTTACTCTACCTTTATCTGTTAGCGGCGTGTCTCTACGCGGCGGCCTTGATGGCGGTGGGACAGTCATAGCTCTGGGATCTGGAGTTGTGGTCGGTGGCGACGAAGCTAATTCAGAGTAATGGAATATAAATAAATATACTTGATTTACATTTTGTTGTTGATGAAAAATATATTTGTTATAAAAATGCTTGGATTTAAAGAAAAACATACAATAGTCATTCAGCCAATACAGATGGTAGCATTGACATATTTAAGATAAATTCTTAGGAGAGGCCTATATTGAATAGAAAGTTGTTTTTAATTGCGATACAGTCACAATAGTCCAAATGATACATAAGGATGTAATTATTATAGTAATATACCGAGGTTATACATCTACCTCGCTTGTTTTATTGATTACTTACTGTATAAACGTATTGTTCCATCCGATTCTCCTCTTGGATTCTTGGCTACACACTTATAAGTTCCATAATCTTCAGTAGTAATATGCCTAATTAACAGTCTCATATGTGTTTTATAAGCTGGTACACCAACAGTGTTTTCCATGTGATATTTTGCACTTTCATGTATCATGTGCCCATCGTCTCTAGTCCAATAATTCAAAGAAGTAGGGTGAGCTTCTGTGAAGCATTCTAACGTTACGTTATAGAAGAGGGGAGCGCCAACTAACTGGTGAGGAATCCATAACATTGGAGGAACTAAAACAAAAAGTTTTATTGACAGTAAACAAAAATTAAATCTACCTAATTACACGTAAAGCTTGAATACGACTTTAACTTACAATCAACGCTAACTTTTACTCGTTTAGATACTGTGGGTGGTACTCCATTACTAGCTATACATAGGTAAGCGCCCATATCCAATCTGGAAATTCGTGCCATTTCTAGCACTTCTCCTTCCCATTCGGAAACTGAAAAAAAGAAACGCATCGTGATTGGAATCTAAAACGTAAAGGGGTATTTTTTGGTCATTAACAAAATCGATTTCTAACCGGTGTGTCCTTTACTGATGGATATTTTTGAATTGTCGTCCCGTTTCCACTTGATGGTGGGCTTAGGGGAGCCATTAGCGCGGCACGTCAGAGTGACGTTGGCGCCTTCTCGGACGATAACGTCGCTAGAGCTCAAAGAGTCGTCGATCGTCGGTGGCACTGTAAATAAACGATAAGTCCACTTTATTATTATTTAAAACCTCTATAAAAATATTTTAACTTATATAAAAACTTACATACGGATTGAAGGGTGAGTATTTTACAAGTGTTACTAAACATTTTTTTTATAAAGAATGATTGATCTAAAAATGATAAATATGTAGAGCCCTCCCCCCCCCCCATATAAATTTAACTGCTAGTCATGTCATTAGTACGGAAGACTCGAAATAGTTTGTCATTTTCTAGTCTACGTCTCCTTGAAAAATAATTTTCAATTTTACTGTTAGAAGGATGTCGATCTGTATAAAGTTAAGTAATTATATAACTGATTTTATCCAGGACACATTATTTTTTCTGTATATTTAATTATCAATAACATGCGATTATACTAAATCTATTATTTTTCATGTGATATTGAAAAAGCAAATTAACTTACCGACAACATGCAGATAACCAAACTGAGTTTTAGCAGTGACGGTGTTGATCTGGCACATGTATCGACCCCGATCTTCTTCCCGTACGTCAGATATGTGAAGAAACCAAGTCCGATGCTTGTCGTGAGTAACACTCACTCGAGGATTCCGTGTAATCACATGATTATGGACAGTAAGAATGGCTGACTGTTCGAAATGCATCCACGCCACCTATAAACATAAAAAAATATAAATGTTTATATAGAAAACGACTTTTCTATATATATTAGCTTCTGCAATCTGTACTTCTATATCGTATAAGGTATAATATGTTTACACATGAACCTCGGTTTTTGTAGAAATTACAATTTGCATCTAAATAAAATTCTGTTTTTTTTTTTTATACAACTTAGAATGGCAATGTTTTTTTTTTATTTAATAAATTGTCATAAATTTTGTAAATAAATTTAATAAATTTTTTACTTCATCTATTTCCTGCTTTTTCTAATACTAATTTGATTGTTTTGTAGGGACTTAAATTTTATTCCTCGAACTTTTACTAAACAGCAATTAAATTAACAATTTAATAAAATATCTTCACATCTTTGATGACAGAGGCACTAGTATTGTGTGAATCATTGGACCAAACGTTACCTTCAACTTTTTCATATATTAAATTGTTATATATTTATTATAAGTTTGAAATTATCAACAAATTTTATTATTACATTTAAACTTGTCACAACTGAGGTATTTAGGGCCGTAACCGCTTATGTCACGACATTTTTACAGGTAAAATATCAGTTAGCAAAAAATACAAAATTCGAAAAAAATATATTGTATAGCAAATATTATTGGTGTGTAAATTTCATCGAACATCAGTCGTTTAACTGGGCGTAGCAGTCAATCAATCATGACCACACAAGGAGAGCAAAAAGAAAAAAAGAAAACGGAATATTTTATTTGAAAAATATGTTACCAAATATTAATGTATTTTTAAGGAACGTTAATAACGCAAGAACTTAGGGTGGAGAACATCGTGCCTCAATGGTTTCCAATCGTTCTTCCAATTGAAGCAGTGACGTAACGGAAATTAAAGAAAGCGCCGTTCTTCCTTCGATATTTTTTTAGGAAGAAAATAAAAATACCTATAAACGAAGCGATCGTACAACACGACATTCTTGAAATTTGGAATTTAACATGATGTTAATTCTGAAGTGAATTATTGATTTATTATTTTTAATGATTATTGATGTTCCGAATAATTACGGATATGTAACACTAGATAGGTATATATAAATATGCAAATATTAACTTATAGCTGATATAACAATAACAAAGAGACTAAAATCATGAAAAATAATAGACCTAATTTGACGTTTTTATTAATTAGATGACCATTGAGAATGCCTTTAAGTACATACCAATAGTCATTCATCTAAATATAGGATGAAATAATAACTATAAATTATACGACTTCTTTTATTAATTATAGAAAAAGTGATAGAATTTTAGTTACAGTAATGGGAACTGTGTGTAATGTTCCGGTGCCTATCTAAAACAATATAAATGGCGAACTTGAACCTCTACGAGTAGTCATTAGATGTCGGGCTTTAGCACGACATCTGTGTAATTGCAGGGAGCTGCCATCGCCCGCCAAGCCGCGCTCGTCCTCGCCGCTTCACACCAATTTCCACGGCATTAAGCGCTTAAAATGCATTTTACAGAGATTGTTGTACTTCAAGCAATCTCGCTACTTTTAATCTTAGCTCCGGAATGATTCAATCTCATCAAAACAAACTAGTAGCAACATATTTAGATATTTCAGATATCAGTATTAGAAGTCTATTTTACTGTTAAATTATTTTACATTATTGGCCATGTTTTCTGATATTTTACTATTACATTACACAATCAATTATGTGTGTGTAGTTATGCGTCCCTATTGGGAGCTTTTTTTTTAATAATATCACACAATTACACCAATCACCTCCAGTCGTCGTGTAGGTACCGGCATAGAATGGACGATACCTTCCTTTCCCATGGGCATCGTAAGAGGCGACTAAGAGAGCATATGGTGGAGGGATAGGCAGCAGCGCCTCTCTTAAAACATCTCTAAAAGCCTGACTGCGGTTGCCAACCCGCCTGCCAAGCGTGGCAACTACTGGCATAACTCCCATTATGGGGAAGACTAAGGTACAAACTAGAATGCCCCGTGTATAATTAATCAGGCAATGGACATATGAAAACATAATCCATAACACCCAAACCTGAGCTAATTACAGAAAAGTTTGTTTCTTAAATTGGCCCGACCGAGAATCGAACATGGAACTTCATTTTACGCAAAATAATTCGCAACTAGTAAGTAGTAACTATACTTTACTTAGTAATAAAAATTATTATATACTAGGAAACCAGGAATTATACAGGTAAGATTATTTAGTATATAGATCATCAAACCAGGTTATGAGTTACTGCTGTTTTAAAGTTGTTAAAGATAAAATTTAATGAAGATATAAGATATTAAAGTTCGAAATTTCTAGATGCATCCTTTATTTCATAATCCAGCTGTAAATTTGAATCAGAGCTGCCGGGTAGTTCTTTTTATCAAGATTGCGATGGCAATATAGGGGAAGTTTGGTAGCTAAAACTCGTGCCGGGTCACATCTTACCTATCTTAAGTGATGCGGCTCTCAACCGCTGTCTAATTTATAATGGACTTGAGGAAACTTTGCCCATTTTATTATGCAATGGGACGGTAACCCCTCTAATGACGCGACCTGACTTGTCGGCATAACCTGGGGCTCAAGGATATTAAACAAGGCTTAATATTTCAAGTGATTTATGTTAAAATAATTTCATGTAAAATTCAAAGGTAGCTTTCTTAATGAGAAAATTAACATTTTATCTCTATCTAATTACTTATAGGTTTATAATAATTATATGAAATGTGTCCCTTTGCATTACGATAATTTCAAATATAAACAAAATTTAATTTAAATCAGTTTAGCATCTTGCAGGTGTTTGAGTAACAAACATCCAAATATTTATGTACAGCTAAACATTTATATTACAAACCTTAATATATACATTAATAGGATAATGGAATCAAATAATATACTTATTTTAAATATAATCTAGATTTCAATAAAATGCAGTAAATATATATTGTAGTGGAAAAATATTTTTATAAAACTTGAAATAGCAACATAAAAAACAAAAGTTTTAAGTTTACATTGGGTACGCGACTTTGTCTGCTGTAAGTAAAGTATTTAAAATTTTAACGATGTTAATATTTTCTTTATATCGTTTATAAATTAAATTTTGATTGATATGCTTTAATTATATCTAGAATAAAGTTACTAATGTTATAAAATTGTAGTATATTAATACAAAACATACCTAAGGTTTTATTAACCAAATTTATCTAATATAAATTAGCTAAATAAAACCTTAAATAAGATCATGTGTCTATCATAATATAAGGTATTATGCTAGCTATTTTCTTCCTTCAAATCACAGAATACTGTGATGTCATACTACTACTATACGAGTACACATATATTTTGTAATAACTTTAAAAAAAATTATCATTATAGTGAAAAGAACTCTTAGTTATAATGTAAAGCTTAATGTTCATTTGTTCTTAGTGTAATATATGTATATTATATGGAAAGCAATATGAGAGTGTCGCGGTTGATAGCAGCGACACGACAGCGGAGACAGCGGCAGCGGATGTAAATCTGATCTGCGTAATTGTGGCCGGCGTCTAATCTAATCACGGCGCGGTGTCCCTCAGCACCGCTGTGATTGAATTACAAGCTTCGCCACGCCTTGCTTCGCGTCTCTTCGCCGCTCAGTGGACGGTGTTCTTAATAATCACCAGATGACGAGGTAATCTCTGAGTAATAAATTATTATTTGGCGTAGGTAATGAATTATACTGTTGTAATTTATAGAGAGATAAATTTTTAAAGACTTATTTATAAATAATATCTATCATCTATGGCCCATACTCGAGGAGAAAATCAATGAAATTGTAGAAGAATAAAGTCTGTTTACATGTACATATTTGCTAAAAATTTTCCTTAGCCAATATAAGCAAGATGTAAAGTTTGAATAAGAATTTTAGGCCTTTATCTATATTGTCTGTCAGTATCCTTGTTTAATCTATTATTCGATCAAATTTAACGTTTTAAAAACAACATGTTACAATCTTTAGATTATATTATTATATCTTATATATTATTGTTATATCTTTAGATTACGTTATTATTTTAATATTTTCATAATTTAGCTACAAAATAAATTTAGTCTAGAATAAAATCCCAGAGTTAAAATATGTCTTTAGAAAAATATAAATTGTTAAAAATTCAATACCCCCATTACCTATGGATTCCATATACAGCGAACGTTTCAGTGTAAAAAAAAATTAAGTTTAAGTACTTAATTGAATACATAATAATATCATACCCTTAAAATGTAAAGTTACATAAATACTGAATTTAAAGAAATTGGTTTTCCGTAGAATGCCATTTTCTCTGATTAGTGTAATTCGCAATAAAAGTACAAAGTTTAACTGGGCTTTCCTATATACTTACATATCCAATCTATCCGAATCCTTAGGGTTATCGCGGATTCGTATAAAACATAAAAGGTATTCTTGAAAGTTCTCTTTTATTGTTCCCACAGTTAAGATAAAATTAAGGAGGAATCAAAATTGTTAGCGGTTAGAGATAAGCGTTGAGTGTTGAACTTGACGAAGTTGCCATCGCACGGTCGGGGTCGGCACGAAATATTTTGTAACGTCCCAAGTTTGTCGGAATTAGGATTATAAAATTGCTTAGTGAGGGAAAGTGCCGAATGAACGAGAATGAAATCGGTTTCAGAAATAAATTGCGCTCTTTCCGAGCTGACGGAGATTTTTATGAAGCAACCGTGAACGTGACCAGGCTTCAATGAAAAGTACACATGTGTTATAATTATAATCGGCTAGATGAAAGTCTGCTACCTTCTTTGATGTTCATTTTATTTCGTACGTAATAATTAAGTTAATCTTATTTATGAAAATGTTCGTTATTTCATTTAATATTCATTAGACAAAAATTAAATACAATATACGAAATATTATTACAATATGTATACGAGGAAAACACACTTAGACGGAGGTCTGTGATGTAGCTTATCAAACACTGATAGAATATAAGAGAGCTTCAAAAAGTAGTGTTATAA